CCTGGCTTCATCCCTCGCAAATGCGGGCTTGTGAATCATTCGTGCTGTATTACAAATGCTTTCAGGAACCCAGGTATACGGTGAGAGCTTTTGAGAGAGTTTTCACAGCTACAACTTGTAACAGCTGATGAGGCCAACAGCTGTTCAGTTTCTGAAACTGACTTGCCCTGTTATGGTCCAAAACAGGGTTGTGTTCTCGCTTAAGATAAATCGCACTGTCACTGTGATCTTGGGCCCTCCGAAAGAAGGGTTTGTTTGGGGGAGGGGGCCATGCAAAGGACAAGAGGTCATGTGGCAAAATGGGGGAGGGAGAGGGTAGAAGTGGGACCACCAGAAGCACACTCAGTTATTTATTTAAATATTTGTGCGCTACTTAGCAGTTTAGACATCTGTATGCTTCTCTCCCCCCCCCACTCCCCCATTGGGAACCTAAAGCAGCTTACAACATCCTCCTTCCCCTCCATTTTATCCTCACAACAAACCATCCTGTGTAGTAGGTTAGGCTGAGACAGTGACTGGCCCCCAGTCCCCCAGCAAGCTTCCATGGCACAGTGGGGATCTGAACCTGGGTCTCCCAGATCTTGAATTTGTAACCACGACACCACACTGGCTCTGCAGGACATACGATTCCAAATTAAGAGTGTGCCTGTGTTACGGATTGGGGTGCAAGGTGGGTTCCTAACCCCGAGAAGCTCGAAGATCACTAGGCTAGAAAGGTATAGCAACAAACATGCAAGGTAGGTTCTGGTTGCATGTATTTATCCTGCTTTTTTAATTAAAGTAAGAAAAAAACCTAAGAAGGGTAGCCATGTTAGTCTGTCCGTAGCAGCAGAAAAGAACAAGAGTCCCGTAGCACCTTAAAGACTAACAACATTTGTGGCAGGGGAGGAGCTTCCCTGAGTCACTGCTCACTTCTAGCCATGTTAGTCTTTTCGTAGCAGCAGAAAAGAGCAAGTGTCCCTTAAAGACTAACAACATTTGTGGCAGGGGAGGAGCTTCCCTGAGTCACTGCTCACTTCTTCAGATACTGCCACAAATTTTATTAGTCTTTAAGGTGCTCTGGGACTCTTGCGCTTTTCTACTGCTAAAAAATAATTGAAAGAGATGGAGGATGGATCACCCGGATTCTGTGCTAAGGGTATGCTCAAGTCACATGGTTGGTGTTTTATGCAATTTCCCGCCTAATGTTGCATTTTGAAGTGTGGCAAAGCATGGCACACTCATACTTTCCTATCTCTTATTTTTCTTACTTGGTGTTCCCAATTTTTAGTTTTAATTATTTTAGGTGTGTACTTTTGTTTTCCACAAAGAGCACTATTGGAAGAGAAGTGGGCAAGTGGAGGGCAGTGTGCGCATACGCACAATTAGACGATTGGAGGCCATGCTCAAGCTCTGCCTTTGGCAAAGCCCCAGGGGTCAGATCCTTCCATAGTCCATTCGGAAGGAATTCTATACCTGGAAAAGAAGCAAGCTACTAGAAACTGCAGCTCAATTGCAATAGTAAAAGCTTAAATTCTCTCTCGGGGTATGCCAAATGTGGCACTCAGCCTCCTTATATAAAATGCACAGTAAATGCTGACTTGCATACCAGTGTGTAACTTATGTGACTGGTATGAAATCTTCCATCCTGTCTAATACAGAGGAAAAAATTGTTGACAAGACCATAGGGCACAAATTTTGGGGACAGGAAAGATTAAACGAAAAGTGACCAGTGCAGTGTTAAGAGACCTGGAGAGATCTCAGCCTTGCAAATCTGATAGTTGCTTTTTTTTTTTTTTTAAACCACTTAGCTCCTAGCAGAATTACAGTTGCAAGATTTCGTTAAGGAAAGCCCTGACAGGCTGTGTGTGTGACTTGCCCAAGGTCACCTGGCAAGCTTTCACGACGGTGGGGATTCAAACCTGGGTCTCCCAGTTCCTAACCTGACGCTCTAACCACTACTCATATATCCCTTCTGTGAGTGAAATACCTTCTCCAGAAGAGTATCCTCATTTCACGCGAGTGACCTTCACCCCCAATCCCTGCACTTCTGTGCCACTGGATTGGGAAGTGGATCGCAATGACCTTTGGCTCTCAGGCTCTTCAGCTGGTGAGGTAATTGCTTGGCTGTTTTCCTAGCAGTCTTCGTTAACTGTCGCAGTATATTCTCCTGATTCTTTTTAGCACCTTGAAATACCCTTTTCTGTACTTTTGGGGTTGCTGGTTTGTTTCTTAAAGCAGGGAAAGCAGTATCGATTGCTAAAAGGCAACCTGTCCTCATTTCTTATGGGTACACATGTTGTGGAGGAATTGGGGAGGGGACCTGTGGCAAACTTTCATGCACAGATTGTGTCACACCTCCGCCCCAGTAGTCTTATTGTTCATCCTGCAGTTTTCTTAGGCCTTTTGTGGGAGAGGCAAGGAAGAGAAGTGACTACTCTGAACCGGGTGGGCTGTCTCTTTGACCGTGGCACCATTTTTTCTCTTCCGCACTCCTAACTGTAATTGTGGTTCCTCTGCACAAGGAAATAACCTATTCCTTCTAAACCTTTTGGGCTGGAGCCCTGGTGTTGTTCAAATATCATTCAAGCAAAAGGCCTGAACACATGCCTTGTTTTCTTTGTCTTTCCTTTACACACACACCCTTCCACTTTCATTTCAGGCGAACTATTCATTCTGCCCTTTGGGGTGTCTTGTTGGAGCAGGATTTTACCCACTGGGGGAAGCAGATTTTCTTCCTTTATAGTTCTTGAGGTGGGAATTTCCCACTCTCTTCTATTCTTGTCTGGGGCATTGGATTGGGATTGTTCCTGAAGCTGCCCAAATTCAGCTCTAAAGATTGCCCCTCCCCAATAATGGGCAACATGCAAGTGTTCAGACGTCTTGTGTGAAGCCAAACCTCTGAGATTAACTCCGTGTTCCATCACTGTGTGCCTCAGCTGAACTGAGCCATCTTGCAACTCTGTTTTTTTTCTAATGATATGGTAAGCAAGGCATGCTTCTGTGAAAAGCTGTGAAGCAACTTCCTTCTGAAGGTTGAGAAAGATTTCCTTTGCACAGCAGGTTTCTGAAACCTCTTCCTCTTCCAATAGTCTTTTTAACATCCATTTCCAAAGTAGAATAAACAAGGACTGTGAGCCTGGAATCCTGACCTGTTTTGCTGAGTTGTGCTTAGAATGGAAGGGATGTAGAGAAGACTGTTCTGCTTATGGGGTCAGTTTGCAATCAGACACGTGGCTATAAGCTTAAGGGACTGCATCTAGCCAAGCACCACCCCACCAGCGGCCAACTGGTTACCCTTGGGAACCTCACATGTGCAGCATTATGAAAATAGTGATTCCCTGCTGACATGTAATAGATTTGAAAATCTGAGATACGTTGTCTGAACAGGCAGGCTTTATTCTGTTGCATTTTAATCCTGCCCTTTGCTCAGGGTGGCTCACCACAGTCCTCTCCATTTTAACTGCAGAACAGTCACCCTGTGAGGGAGGTCTGGAAGAGGGAGATTTGACTGGCTGTAGGTTACACCATGAGTTCCCATGACTGAATGGGGATGTCAACCCAGATTGTCCTAATTCAGCTTTCTGACCACCAGAAAGTTCTATTAGTTATCATTTCTACTAATGATCGTGGTTGGTGCTCTTGTCTAATCATTTTAAAAGCCATCTGTGCCAGGTGGCTGGTCGTGACATCCTGTGGCAGTAAACATACCACAAGGCTTGTAAGATACTCCGCTCTCCTTCAAGTAGAACTGGGGTTAATTCTAAACTCAATTACGAGAGCTCATCGGATTCAGGTGAAGTTGGAAGAGGGATGCTAGTGGAGGGTCTCCTCAGTATGACAAATTGTCACTCGGTTGATCTTTCATGGTAAATAAAAGCCACTTTTTACTGGAGTGGGAAGCTTTTGTTAATTGAAAAGGAGTTCACTTCTTTGTTCTTTCAGGCCATGATATTCCACATTAGACTAACAACAGTGTGTGTTGGGCCAGTGGGTTTTTATAGGCCAGTCACATTTATAGACTTTACATGGCTGAACTAATGCTACCCTTCATAGATCCTTTTAGAGACAGATCAAGATGGGTAGCTATGTTAGTTTGTCTGTAGCAGAAGAAAAGAGCAAGAGTCCAGGAGTACCTTAAAAGACTAACAAAATTTGTGGCAGGGTATGAGCTTTCATGAGTCACTGCTCACTTTTTCAGATACCTGATTGAGCAGTGTCTCACAAAAGCACATCCCCGCCACAAATTTAGTCAGTATTTAAGGTGCTACTGGACTCTTGCTCAGATCCTTTTAGTTGCGGGGGGGTTTTTAAATGACAATTTCTGCTGTACATACATATGTTGATATTTGGGTTAGGTCTCCCCATTACTACAGCTCCCATCCCACGTGGCTTTTGAGCATGCAGGCCCCACAGCCCCAACAAAGCCTTTTCTGGCAGTCAAAGGGGACCCCTGGTTCATTTTTCCTCAGAAGAAAAGCTGGTAGGGTCCCACCCCTTCTTTGGAACTTGGGGCCTATGAAAGAGCCGCCGGATTCTTCTGGCACTGGAGCATATTTACTAGCATTGAAGAGCCATGCAGTGCAATTCTGGGTTATTTGTTTCCAGAAGGTGATAAATAAAGGCAATTCATGAAGTTTTTAAATGTATCACCCATCAGTTAAGACTACTTGGCATATTTGCTGTATATTAATTAATCACTCCCCCCCAATTCTTTGTCTGAAGAGATCCAAGATTATTATTCAACACTTTGTGAATGTAGAGTTATAAAAACAGAAAAGGTCGATGTGCATTCAATGTCACCACTTGAATGTTCAATAAAACTTGATTTAACTTTGTAACGGTGGGGTTGGTGCTGTGTTGCCTAGCATCCATTTCTCTACAGAAACATCCTATCCAAATTGATGATCTTGACACTGTTCTCTTCCTCCCTTCCCAGTTCCATCATGGAGGGACCACGTGGTAGAGCCCTTAAGAGACCTGAATACGTCAGACCTTTTGGAGGTATGTTGGTGAATAAACAGCAATAAGAAAGAAATAGAGCCCTAAGAGGTGGGGCAGGGATTGTGTGGTGCTATGGAAGAAAACACAGAGCTGTATGGAACACCATCCTTGACCACCGCAATTTGAACAGCCATGTTGCTGTGTTTTAATGTTTGCCAGACACAGCCCAGGTGTTTTCCAGTTGGCTTTGACGTACGGGGATTGGAATCTTTGAAATCTGATTGGTACTTAACAGGTCCATCTAATTCCCTCTTGAAAGAAATGTGTTCTTGGAGCACGGCCTTCAGTTAACTCAGTTTGGGTGTCCCAAACAAGGTGAACATCAGTGGTACACTTGATGTTCCACAATGTGCTGTTGAATCAGGCAGCCCATTTTTTTAATTGTATGTTTAAACTATGCAGGTCAAACCTGCAGAAAATGAGATTTATGAAGTAACATGGCTGCCAAGGCATCAGGCTTCAGTTGGCAATATTGAGGCGTGATCTGCATTTTGATTATGGTTTACAATTTTTGGTATTTGGGTTTGAATCAAAGGTTGCCAGTTGCCTGTCAGGTTTGATGTTTACTAAGGATTGCTACCTTTTTAAAAAAAAAAAAAAGCTGCCATTTTGAAGACTGAACCTGCAAATACAGTCAGTCACTTGTAACTCACACATGCAGCAGCTAGCATTTAATATTCTTTGTCTTATCTGGTTTTGTGTGTCTATGTCCATGCACACTCCCTGATGCTCCCTGATCCAGCATCTGGCGAGGATCAGTAGTGGTTTGAAAAGCAGTAATTTCACCGGTGAAGCACTTCCTGCTGTGACATAGAATCATAGAAATCACAGAAGAAGAAGAGATTGGATTGATACCCCGCCCTTCACTTGGAGTCTCAGAGCGGCTTACAAACTCCTTTCCCTTCCCCTCCCCACAACAGACACCCTGTGAGGTGGGTGGGGCTGAGAGAACTCTGACACAAACTGCTTTTTTTTAAGGACAGCTGTGCCAGAGCTTGTGACTGACCCAAGGTCACATCAGCAGGTGGAAGTGGAGGAGTGAGGAAGCAAACCCGGTTCTCCCAGATTAGAATCCGCACACTTAACCACTACACCAAACTGGAACTGAAAAGAAGGCCATCAAGTCCAACCCCTTGCTGCATGCAGGATCAGCCTAGAGCATCCCTGACAAGTGTTTGTCCTGCCGCTGCTTAAAGACTGCCAGTGAGGTTGAGCTCACCACCTCCCTAGGAAGCTGATTCCACTGTTGCACAACTCTTACTGTAAAAATGTTTTTCCTAATATTCAGCTGGTACCTTCCCGCCCTTAAGTTAAACCCATTATTGCAAGTCCTCTCCTCTGTTGCCAGCAGGAAATCATAAAGAGTCCTGTCAGAAGATCCTGAACATATTCGCCTGACTTTTCTCTCCCTGCACACCGCCCCCCAATTTCTTTCCCAAATAGGAGAGACAACACCCTGCCAAAAAGACTAGGTTACTTCACTATGAGCAAGGCGGGCCTTCCTTTGGAAGGAAAGGCAAGGGAGTTCTCAGCAGCTAATTGAGAATCAGATGCACCCAAAAGGGTATCAGATCATGTGAACTGTGTGTGTACTTACATTTGTAAAACTTTCCACAGAACTTGGACGACAGTGTCTTCTCCAAACGGCACGCAAAGCTGGAGTTGGATGAGAAGAGGAGGAAAAGGTGAGCGAAGGGGAAAAGCCATTGCCTGCATGCTGAAACTTTGGAAACTGTTTTTCTCTGTAGGCATACAGCTTCCAAATGCATTGCCAAAAAGCGATGGGCTATAGCCGTTATAGGTGCTGGTGATAGCTATTATAGGTTTCCCTTGCTCGAAAGCCAGTTGAATCCAACTCTAGGGGGAGGTGCTCATCTCCGTTTCCAAGCCAAAGAGCAGCACTGTCCAAAGACATTTCCATGGTCATGTGGCCGGCGTGACTAAACATTGAGGCACATGGAACGCTGTTTCCTTCCCACTGAAGCAGTACCTGTTTATCTACTTGCAGTTTCTTGCATTCGAACTGCTAGGTTGGCAGGAGCTGGGGCCAGAGACAGAAGCTCACTCCATCACGCGGCACTAGGATCTCAAACTGCCAAACTACAGACCTTCCAGTCTGCAGCTCAGTGTCTTAACCTCTGAGCCACCGCGGCCCTGATAGTTATTAGAGGTGCTTGGCTATTTGTGGTTGTAGAAGGTGATGTACAACAAGGGTATAAAAGGATACTGGCGGATTGGGTTGGGTCCTGAGGCATGGTTAAAGTCAGCCTTTACTACCCACCGAGGACTGTTTCACAGTGTTGCCATTTGGACTGAAAAATGCCCCTGTGATGTTTCAGTGCCTGATAAACTGCTTGTTAAGGGGGCTGAAGTTTGCTGCAGCAACCCTGGATGATACTGCTGCATCCCACCGCTGCCACCATATGGTGATAGACCATTGTTGTCACCAGAGGTCAATTTGGGGGGATCGTGGGGAATCGCAGTTCCCCGGGTGAGATGCAGGAGGGCGGGGCACATGACGAAGCCCCGCCCCTTCTTTCGGCCGCCTCCTGCTTCCAGCCTCATTCTGTTGCAGAAGGAGGAAGAAGCAGGAGGGTAAGTTGGCGTCCTCCCCCTCTGCCTGGCCGAAGCCACTCCACGTGGCCTCCGCAAGGACTCCCAGCCCCATCCAGGAGCTTCCCCGAGGTAGCTGTGTTAGTCTTGCTGCAAAATAGTCCAAGAGTTCAAATAGCACCTTTAAGACTAACAAATAGCACCTTTAAGACTAAGACTAACTGAGTGGTGGGTGTGGCCTTATGACACACGTCCGGTGATATCAGGGGGTGTGGCATATGCTAATGAGTTATGCTAATGAGTCCCCCTAGCTCTTTTTCTACGAAACGACCCCTGGTTGTCACCATGTGGGATGATGGTTCCACACTGTAGGAGGATTGCTTAATTGCCCCATCAGCGTGAGGGTACTTTTCTCCGCAGACTTACCCAGCCAGCTCAAAGACCAGTCAGGAAACTGAGGCAGAAAGTCTTTTCTTGTCCACCTTTCTCTGATAGCTGCTACCACCACCCTGGGTAAATAGCCCCCTCTCTCTTTTGTGTGGTAGCATGAGGCTGACACAACAGGGGTGTATTACTTCAGCATGCTTGGGTGGGTAAGGAAGTGTGCAGACTCTCTTAATCAAACAACTTTATTTCTACAAGGCACAAACTCTGGGTTCTATAAGACAGGTCTAGGTACATGAAGTGAATAAATAAAAGTAAAGTTGCTAACTAGGTACTTACAGTTCACATCATATCTGGTCTTTGTTGGTTGCATGGTGCTGCCCTCCCTGGGTGCACCAGCAAAAATATCTTTAGCATAATTCCCCTCTGGCCTCCTTCATTGCAAACACACTCAGGAGAGACAGCCTGCAAACGAACCTAGCCTGCCATAACATGGACCCTCCAATCAAGAGGTGTTAACACATGAAAGAGATAGCGTGTTTTCCCTTTCGGTTGTAAATGGTGCTCTCTACCTGGAGAAGAACACCTTTCCCACATTCTCCCAGTCAGAGGGATGCCGCCATCCTCTTCCATCACCATAACTGTCACAACATCTCTTGTCTAGTTGCTTCTCATCCACAACAGTATGTTCTGAAGGCCTCATGCATGTGACATCCAGTAATCTCTACTGATGGTTACATAGCATCTTGAGTGCTTCCAAAGGGGCATCGTTGGGTGCTAAGACCAGGAGAGCATTAGGTAGCTGCTGCATTGTAGAGCGTGAAGGAAGCAGAATCACAGAACCTCTGTCATAATGCAATTACTGAGGATCGCCCATTGACATTGGTAGGCTGTTGGTTTAATATCTATCTAAGCAGTTTGCCACACTTGTTAAAATTAAATTACGGCATGCCTGGCAATGTTTTGATACCCTTTTAAATGTAAAAGGTTGGGCTGGTTGAAAACAGTGGCTGATGATAGATAGAGCAGAGGTGTTTTCGAGCCAAGTTTTTAAAAGCACTTTTCCTTCCCTCCTGCTTGTGGCAAAAGGTGGGATATTCAGCGGATCCGAGAGCAAAGAATTTTGCAGCGACTGCAGCTGAGAATGTATAAAAAAAAAGGAATTCAGGAATCTGAGCCTGAAGTTACCTCATTTTTCCCAGAGTCGGATGATGGTGAGTAGCTCAAAGTATCACCCCGGAGATTTATGTATTATTATTTTATATTATTTATTATTTTCAATTTATACCCCGCCTTTCTTGCACAGGCAGGCTCAAGGTGGCGTACAACAGGTTAAAATACAATAAAACACAGATGCATAAATGCAATACTATAAAATTTACGTAGCAAACAGTATACATACAAAGTGCAGTTGAGTGCAGATGGCGATTAACTCAGATGCCATAACTCAGACAAAGCCGGGATAATCTAGTTATACAAAAGGCGTTGTCAGCACGAGTATATAAGTGTGTGTGAGAGAGCATTGCATCTACAGTAGTAATGTTTTCCTGTGTGTTTTCTCTCTCCTAGTTGAAAGCTTGCTAATCACCCCTTACTTGCCTGTTGTAGCTTTTGGCCGACCACTACCAAAATTAACCCCACAGTAAGTATCCTTGTATATTAAATGCTCGCGTTAAAGGAAGTTGTACTTTACAGAAGCAAGGAACTTGGACTGTATACATCTTTTTCCTTTTGAGAGGGTGGGTGGTGTTCCCATGTGTGTGCTGATAACCTTCCAAGCAAACACAGTCTGCCATTGCAGTCCGTGATTATGGGCCATGTGAATCAGTTGTCTTGGGCTTCAGCACTGTAGGAATTCCTAAGCGACGGCAGCCAGCCCTGTTCCTTTGTGGTGAAAGAGGCGCCCACAAGCTCAGCCTTGCTATAGATGGGGACAGCATACAAGAGCTTGGGGCTCCTTAGCTTGGAGAAACGACAGCTGAGGGGTGACATGATCGAGGTTTATAAGATTATGCATGGGATAGAGCAGGTAGAGAAAGAGGTACTTTTCTCCCTTTCTCACAATACAAGAACTTGTGGGGACTCCATGAACTTGCTGAGCAGTCGGGTTAGAACAGATAAAAGGAAGTACTTCTTCACTCAAAGAGTGATTAACACATGGAATTCACTGCCACAGGAGGTGGTGGCGGCTACAAGCATGGACGGCTTCAAGAGGGAATTAGATAAGCATATGTCCAACGGTGGCTATTAGCCACAAGGTATAGATAGGGACTCCAGGGCAAGAAATGCTCTGTATTCTTTGTGCTTGGGGGGGGGGGGGGGCAAAAGTGGGAGGGCTTCTAGTGTCCTGGCCCCACTGATGGACCTCCTGATGGCACCTGGTATTTTTGGCCACTGAGTGACAAAGTGTTGGACTGGATGGGCTATTGGCCTGATCCAACATTGGCTTTTCTTATGTTCTTAAGAGAGCAGTGAAGGGGAGGCAAAGGTTGGTGCACAAACATGAAGGAATCTGAGATGACGTGAGGTCGAGGAGAAAGCAGGCTTGCGTTGATTGGGTGGAGGGCGAGGATGGCTTTCTACCAAGCAAAGAAAGTAATGTGCCTTTTATATCCAAGACCAGTCCTGATTGATGGTAAAAAAAGCTGTGTTGAATCTATAAAAGGCAGGAATATTGTAGCTGCTTCTCCTATAAGTGGTAAGCTTGGACTGATTTTTCTTTTGACTTTTCTGTCTCAGTTTTGGTGCTGGGATCCCCCAGCTTTTAGGCCTGAGAGACATCACGCACCCATGGTTTAATGTCCCCTGCAGCCTGGCTGATCTCCGCTGCAATCTTTAAAACAATGTTCAAATTAGAAACGATAGGGCTGCAGGCAGTTCAAATACGTCCTGTTTCGGGTTGCCCTCTGCACCAGCCCTGTAGTCCTACCGTTGAACCTTTTGTTGAGGATTAGAAATTCTTTCCACCCTTTCCCGTTGACTCTGTCATCAAAGTCCACCTTTTCTTTTTTTGTCTGGCAGGAACTTTGAACTGCCGTGGCTGGACGAGCGAAGCCGCTGCCGGCTGGAGATGCAAAAGAAACAGACGCCTCATCGGACATGCAGAAAATAGGCATGCCCACTAGGAGATGGTTGCCCTGTGCTATTTGCAGCAAATGGCAGAGAACTGTATATGTTCTGTCACATCAATCTTTCTCCCCTCAATGTACATTCTTGTTCACTATAGACTTTTTTTAATGCTTCTGTATGGTTTTTCTCTTTCCTCTTCTCCTCCCCCTCCCTCCCATTAAAACTGTTCAGCTGTGTTCCTCCCTCCCCTTTTGTTTGATAGAAAGTACTGGAGTTTTGTTGTGGGGACAGGCAGCAAGGCGGGCAGCATTGGCTGTGCAGTGGTTGAGTTCCTTTGGGCAGGCGTGTAGCTGACCACATTCTGTTTAGCGCCTCAAAAGATAAATGGACATAAGAAATACAATGAAATGGTTCCCATTTGTTAGTTATAAAGCGTATGAAGTCCACCTCTCTTAAAGCACACACACAAATCCTAAAATGGTTGCTTAAAAATATTTAACCTGCTAACTGAAGCCCTTGAAAATTGGGGAAGGGGGTACATTGGGCTAACACAAGTTAGCCATCACCCTGCTTGTGTTTGTTTTTTTTAAATCCAAGTATGGATCTGTATATTTCTTCTTGTCTGATTTGGCTCTTCTCACACTGCTGTGATTTTCAGTTTTTGAAAAAAGTATAGCTAACCTGGTGCTTGCCTTTTGTTTCTTGGGGGTGTGTGTGTTGTTGTTTAAAATTTGACATCCCAGCACTGAGAACGAAGGCCGGAATGTCTTGACAACCAGGTCACATGCTGTTGGTTCTCTTGGAATAGGTTTGCACCAGTCCAGTGCCCAATTTGCTTAAGACTTTTTGTTTTGCCAGTGAGCGCTTTAATTTTCTTTCCCTCTGCCAAGGAAAGTAGGGCATAAATTTGTGGTATTTTTATTTGCAAACCTCCTCTACGCGTCACGCTGGTTTCTTAAGGGCAATACTGAGTGGCAGGGCTGTCAGATTTTCTGGCACTTGGATACCTTGGGTGGGTATACTGCACTGCAGAAGGGTACCAAGTAACATCACCAAAATTGGTCTCCCCTCCTCCAACAAAGGTTATGCTGTTTGCCTTCGTATTGCATGGAACCAATGAGTTGCTTAGCAATCACCATATTCTTCCTTCCCCAGAGGAGGCTGCCAGAGGGAAGGAAAGCAATGAGACCAAAGTGGCTCCCAGAAAGCCTCTTGAAAACGGTTGCGTTGCCTTCAGATGTTTCCTCCCCTATCTGAAGTCCACTGTGACCTGACTCTTGGCAATTTTTGTGCCTTTATGAAGGCTGAAGTCTGTTAGTGGTGATACCATACTCACACTCATAGTTACAGGAAGTTACTCCCATTGGTAAAAAGCAGGTCCCCCTCCCGCATTTTGTGTGTGTATAATAATGAATTAAGCTAGTGTAACACCTGAAACTTTGTGTTCTTTGGAGCTTGGCTGGCATTTTTAAAAAAGTAAGAGTCTGGTAATTTTTTTTGTCGCTAGTGGAATGGGACTCCCATGTTCATCTGTCTGATCTGTGGAAGCTCTGTGTGCGTTTATAGAGGAGCAGCAAAACTAACCTCCTTTTCCATTTCTATAGAAATTTCATTCATTCAGTGCAAAAGTATCAGGCCTCACTTTTCTGGATTAAGGGTGTAGTGCAGGACAATATCGGCTGTTGTTGAAAACTGGGAGGAGGCTCAGTCGCCCAGCAATGTACTTCTCTCTCAGGTTCCACATATGTCCAGTAGCTGCTGCTCCGTTTCTGCATTAGGTTCTCTAGAAATTCAAAAGGATACTTTTACGACAGAAGGTAACACATACGAGGTGACTACTGTAGAAGAGTCACAAGTATGACTTAGACTCTGTCTTTGCCAAGTAGCCCGTGTTGTTGAGGTTGTGCACAACGCTTGCTGCCTAATTTAATTTGGTTTTTAATTAAGGCTGTATTTGGGTCTCTTGGTTTTTAGCATGCCAGCATGCATTCTTCTCTCCCCTGCCCTGCTGTTAAAAGTCTGGATGTATAAAATAAACGTTAGGTGGAGGTTACTTAAAGGCATTGTTGATTTCAGAG